TCATATAAACCAGTATACTACCACAAGTGTTATAAACATATTCACCAAAACAGTGTAAAACTCACCTTATATGCTTGTATTTGGAGATGAATCACACATAACTTCAAATATTAACACATAATCAACTCTCGTCTTTAGCAAATTCACACAAGAGACACAACAACTTTCTCCATTTTCCTTTTCTTTCCTAAAATAGCAAGGATAGAATAATAAGTTTATGTTTTGGTTTTTACATTACCATAACAAAGGCGGTGGGTGGGTTTTAAATATATTAGAACTCTAAACTCTCACTCAAGTGTATATATATATATATATATATATATATATATATATATATATCAATGATAGTGGAATTAATAAACAGGTAACCACATAAACATAATTATTTTAAATTGACTTACTTACCAAAACTTTTAAAAAACCCTAAATTATTTAACCGAAACCCGGTTATCACAGCCTTTCCTTCAATATCACATGATAAGGTTATACTCGAGTTCCTTGTATGATCATGTTCAGCTATCATACAATTATTACAGTCTGTATCACAGGTTAAGCGATCGAGTTCGTATCATGATTGATCACATGTGAAATCACACAATTATCACTTTGTATCACATAGGTTGTATCCCGCGATTATCACAAATTGTATGACCTAGGTTGTATCACACAATTATCACACATTAGATTACATAAGTTGTATCATACAGGTTGTATCACACGATTATGACAAATTGTATCTCACATGTTGTATCAAACATATTGTATCAAACAGACTGTTTCTCACACATTGTTTCAAATAGATTGTACCGCATGATTAGGCAAACTCAAGTGGACGTTCACTTGATTGTGTATCACACGTTTATCACAGGGATCCTGAAACCGAGTTATTAGCCTATTTAGATGTAACACAATCCGATATTAGAAACGTTTCAAAGATTATGGGATAATTACAATAAACTAAAATACCATAAAGATTATGAAAAACAAATAATTACATTACTACCCTCGATGGTTTATTTTTATTATTATTTAAATTATAGGTTAGTTAAGTTGGAGTTCCACATCTATTCTCACATTTTCGCAAAACATATTCGTTTGAACTTCCATATATATATATATATATATATATATATATATATATATATGCAAGATCAAACGAGAAGACAATCAATTTGCTAGAACACGAAAAGTTTCAAGCTCACATGTGATTACTTAGTAAAACCACATGTGATATAACATGTCCAAAAAGACACAGGTGACTTGGTCAACACAACCAAAGGTCGTGGGAAAGGTCGCCCCCTCTATGGTTGCGGGAAAGGTCGACCAAGGATCTCAAAATTTCTCACATTTTCGTAACTTGACCGATTTCTCTTTTGATCATGCCCCCTCTCTCTATATTAAATAATATTATTTTATTAATAGGATAAAACCAAAAATCTTTTTAGTATATTAAAAGAAAGGACTCAAATAGTATTATTTTTAATTCGGGGGGTGATAAAGTAAAAACCCGAAACCAGATGTCCCAACGAGTTTTAGTTTTGAAAAGGGTTTGTAGAAATAAGGTAGTTTTAGTTTTATTGGTAGAAATAGGGTTGTTTGTGTGGGACCCACTAATTTTAAAAAATCTGATTTTGTAAATTTACAATTTTKACCCTCCAACTTACATTTTCATTTTTATTTATATCCTTTATTTTGTAAAATTTTATATTTAACCTTTATTATATATTATGTATTAATTTATTTAATTAATATATATATATATATATATATATTAAAATTTATGTATTATTTTTAAAAAGTTATATAATTAAATAGATCTCATCCATACATTCAAATTGATACTAATATCTAATATATTACAATGTTTGAAAATTACGATACGAATTAAACATTAACTAGAAGAACTAAACATTAAATTACACTACCAATTAAACATTAAATTACAACATCAATTATAAAAATTACATAGTTCACATCTCATTGAATCTTGGTTGAGAATTTGGAYAATTTCTCCTRTTATGCCCAGGTTGGTGGCATAGTCCACATCTGCGAGGTTCATCAGGATGACGAACGTCCATCTCGTTACGAAATCGATTTACACGCCTCCGACCTTGATGCACAGAAAGTCTCGAGTAATCTGCTTCAAYTTTCCAATCCGACTCCAACCAATAATCAACGTGAAAAAGTGGCATAAAATCAGAATGATATTGTTGTCTATAGGTCACAGTAGTGTACACAATACTTACAATGGAAAGAGGGTCATCCCCTCTATGACGACAAGCTGCAAGAGCATGTAAACATGAGAATCTTTCCATTTGCCATTTACCACATGTGCACGTATGTTGAAAATAATGGACAGTATGTGTATTTCCTCCAGTACCATTGATCTGTGACTTTGTGACAATTCTATAGACACCTTCATTGTAGTCAAACTCGGTTAAATTATGACTTTGTGCATGAGTTTYTCGTTTAACAAAGAGACGCCACATACGTGATGKTAGAGGTGTATTGCAGTTCATTGCAATATCACTATGCTTTCTAAAAAGTTGCACAGTTCTATTGAATGTAAGGTCAATACACGCCTTAATCGGTAACTGTCTTGCTCCTCGCAGCGCATTGTTCATACTCTCAGAGATATTTGTTGTCAAGAACCCCCATCGACGATTTTCATCGTATAAAAGACATCACTGACTTCTATTAATTTGTTTTAAATACTGCCAAGCTTCAAGATTGATTTTTTTTATTTCTCTCATACATKTAACAAACTTCCTTTTCTGTGTGGTGCTTCCCATAACCCAACAAAAYATTTTAAGGCTCAAGTTGTTGTACCTTTTCATGAGATTACTTCTGATGTGTCGAAGACAAAAATGATGGTATGCTAATGGCTCTTTCCATTCCTCCAGATTTGTCATTGCATGAATTATTCCTTGATGTMTGTCTGAAATAACACATAATTGCCTGTCTTGAGCAACAAAATGTCTAAACTGATAAAAGAACCAACACCAACTGTGTGCGGACTCTTCATCAACAATGGCATAAGCTATAGGCAATATGTTATTATTAGCGTCTTTTGTGACCGCAACAAGCATTTTCCCCCTGTATGAACCTTTCAAATGACAGCCATCAACAGAAATAACAGGTCGACAATGATGAAATGCATTAATTGCAGGTCCAAAAGCCCAAAAAACATACTTGAATGTCACCACATCTGATGATCCGTTCGGATTATGAAACCAATTCACAACCGTGTTAGGATTTGAAGACTTCAAAGTTGTAATGTACTTAGGCAACTCAGCAAAGTTACTTTCCCAAGTTCCATAGATAGTCTCTATGGCTTTCCTCC